AAAATTCTTTCTTTTTTTTTTTTTTTTTTTTTTGAGAAAGAGTTTCAAGCTGTCAGCTTGGGTAGTGCTGTGGCGTCACAGTCACCTCTAACTCTTGGGCTCAAGCGATTCTCTTGCCTCAGTCTCCCAAGTGGCTGGGACTACAGGTGCCCGCCACAATGCCCAGCTATTTTTTTGTTGCAATTGTCACTTTTGCTTAGGGGCCCTGGCTGGGTTTGAAACTGTCAGCCTCTGTGTATGAGGCCAGCACCCTACCCACTGAACTACAGGTGCTGCCCCCTTTTGTCTTTCTTAACTTTAAAGGAAATCTTCATTTTTACCACATAGAAGAATGTTTGGTCCAACTGGGGACATTGGCTCACAGCTGTAATCCCAGCTACCTGGGATTACTCACTGGAGGCCAGGAGTTTGAGAAGAATGCTTGGTCCAGGTGTCAGGTAGACTGCATTCCTTTACACCAGCAATGTACAATTAGAAAGTGTTACTTTTCAAATGGTACCTTCACACAATGAATAGAAATTTACAAAGTGCCAAGGAATAAATCTAGCTAACACACCAAAACCATTATGGAGAAAAAGATAGAATTTTATTAAAATATGTTAAAGAAGGTCAGATCTTTTCCATGTTCAGGAATAGGAAGACAACAGCATAAACATGGCAGTTCTCTTCACATTTAAACTGGAAAAAAAAAAAAGCAGCTATTTCTAGCTGGTATGAGAAGAGGGACTCAGAGAGGTTAGAGACAGAAGGATGTGATACATCATTGCTGGCTGCTAGTTGGCCAGTGTTTCCGCAGAGCCTCCAAATGAAAACTGAGGCCACTGACAGCTTGTTTCTGGCTGTGGGACACAGAGTGCCCAGATACCTTGATGAGGACTTCTGATCTACAGAACAGTGAGCTAATAATGTGTGTTGTTTTAAACTCCTAACCTCATGGTAATTTGTTTCAAGCAACAAAAAGAGTGACCACTGTTTAGAGAAAGTGTGATCTGTCATTCACAGGAACCAAAGTTTTTTTCAAATAGTAAGGAGATGCACTATGGGGTCACAGAGGTCAAGTTTAGGCATCACTTAGAAGGGCCAGAATCAGGAAGGATAAATACTAAAAGTACCATGAGCTGTTTGTGGAACTCCCGTGTGTCGTCCCTGAAGGAATGCTCCATGAAGATGGTAATGGCCTCCCTCTCACAGGCCGTGTGCAACTCCAGCAGCTCCTGAAGAGTGTCTGTGGGGAGCCTGGCTCGCTGGTCCATCTGCTGGCTGTAGTGGTCAGCTGCCCTCTGCACAGCTGCTGAGTTCTCACGCTGGGCCAGAGTTGTCACTGCATTCTCCAGACAAGGCACTGCTCCACTGTTGATGGCATCCACGTAGGTCACCACCAGCGTCCCCAGACCTGAATGACGTATGTTTAGAGAATAATGGAGACCATGAAGGTTTTTTTACTGATTGTTTTTATAAGATTCAAGGATGAACATTCTGAAAATCACAAAAATTCTAATTATCTTGAAATTTCTCCTTTCTTCTCCTCTTCATCTTCCTCCTCTTCCTCTTTCAACTTCTATGAATCTACTCTCTGTAATCCTATCACTGCTTTTCCTATTCACTCTTTCTCTTATGGCTTTTTATTTCACCCTGCTACAAAATTAAATTATTCACTGCAACCAATGTGTTTTATGGAAATTTTTATGGAATTTTATGGAAATACTTTCCCAGAAGCTTAAAATATAAATGAGTTTATTACACATGGAAAATAAATTATTAATATATAATCTATGAGTCCTAGTTCCAGGAAAAAATGGAAGTCCCCTTATAAAAAGTATCAGAAATTAGAAGACAGCAACACAGAGCATTGGACCAAGTAGGAGCATCTCTCAGCTTGGAGACCAGGTGACTGCATAGGTGCCATGACCATGGAGCTGGCCATGTATATAAGATTATATTAAAATGTGTCTCACACCTTCAGTGAGATTTCATGAAACTCATGGCTTACTGAGTACCTCAGTAAATTTATAAAATGTGTTGTCTGTCTTCACTGAGAAACATTCTTCCTGTAGGATTTCTCCTCATCGTGCATATTTCTCTCCTAAGGCCATTTGTGCCTATTTCATCCATGTATTCATTTCATGAGATGTAATAGACCTTGATAAACCCTTGTGCAGAGAAACTTTAATGAAGAAACATGCATTTCTATGTGTGGGATGAACCTCTCTTTCTCCACATTCTTATACAAAAGCAAACAGAATTATTGACAAACCCACAGAAGTATCATAGCTTCCTCTCCCACATTGGACCACAGAGAGATGTGCTTTGGGACAAAAGAGACTCACGATTCCCGGTGACAATGATACCCTGTCTCAGGGTCTTGGTGCTTGCATGGGTGAAGATATAAGAGCAGAAATTCATTGATTGCTTCTGGAATTTAGGATCCAATTGGTCTTCCGACACCCTCTCAATATGTGCTAAGAGTTCTGTGTTACTTATTGGCCGGTCAAACACAAAACACTTTTTTCTGGGAAAGAAACGCTTGATGTACTCCTTGGGCTGATTGGAAATTTGGAGTTTGGGATTACTGCCTGAGGAAGAGAAGAAACAGAAATTACACAGGGCGTCTCTCTGGGATGGGATAAGGGGGCTAACAATTTTTATGACCAGACAGTTTTGTTCATTTGCTGTTTTCTGTGATTATAAAACTCTTTTAACCTAGACATTCAAAACCCTTTTGCAAATCAAACTTCTATCAATTACATAACTCTGGAAAGATATTTGGTGACAAATCTTGCCCCAAACTAAAAAAAATAATAAGGCTGGTATTTCTAGAAACCCAAACCCAGAGTTGGGTATGGAGTAGCTGTTAGCAGATATTTATCAAATACATGGATGAATGAATGAAAGGTGAAATGTGAGCTTCATCTCACATAGAAATTGTGGTGTCAAAAGGAAGAGTCACAAAGAAGGATTCTGAGGAAAAGTTAGGCGGAGGACATGTGGCACATTATTATTTAAGAAAATCTACCTTGCTACTGAAAGCATTTGAACAATGTTAGCTTTTATTCAATAAAAGCTTCTGAAGAATAATTTAACCAAAATGTAATTTGAAGATGTCAAAATCACGTCAACATTTTAAGGCCAAAGATTATATCTGAATTTATGGTGTTGCTTATGCTCACCTAATTGCTCAAAAGTTGGTAGAAAAGTTATGAATGGACAAAGAATGAAAGGATGAATAAGGAAAATTCATATTTCTCTCAAGGCTTCACCAGTTACACATCCATGTAGATATCCTCTACTAAAATAATATATTACTTGAAGTTATAATATGAATAAGTATGTTGAAACAAAGAGGAAACCATTATGTAGAAAGTAAAATTAATGTTCTAGTAGTTATGATTTTTTGTATACTGGCTATACAAAGAAACATTAATATTGAGAAGGTATAGATTTAAAATACCCATTTCTTCAAGTTTATCTAGAATATAAACCCTGTTTTGGTAGAAAATATAGCTATACAGTAATTAAAAATGTGTATCTCTCTTTGGGAAGAATAAGAGATAATGTATGAAATTAGTTTTCTTATTGGATAAACTTTTCAATTGGGTTTTATGTTTCACAAACTCGTGGCTACTTATTTTCATCAGTAAGAAAAGCAGGAGCTGAAACAGTGAACATTCATGCTTAGTCTTTAGGAAGTTTTTGTAATCTTTGTTATCTAGTGCTAAGATATAAATTATGTACAAATTGATTTTGAGTAAATTTGCTCACTATTAGGCTCTTCTCTTTTAGGGGGAGCTTAAACTTTTCAACTTGCTTGTCAGTCACCATTTCTATGGATTTCAATGTAGTCTTAAATACAAACGTTACCCAAGACCTGATGGGCAATGTTCAGCGGACCAACCAATGCTGCACCATTCCCCACCCAGGCTGTGCTCTGATACCTGGAATCAGCTTCAAGGCATTCTCCAGGTACTCATCTTCTGTGATTGCGTGTCCATCTAACTCCAGAGTCAGGGTGAAATCCCGCACAGTCCAGACAAAATCTGGAAAGAAACTTACAAACTCTGTGGTATCCTTGGCTCCATCAGATCTCAGAGAGGACTTCGTCCTGATTAATTCTGTGAGCTCTGTCACATAACTAGGACTTGGCTAAGGAAAAGGAACTCCCTGTCCACAATTGCTAATTTTTCTTATAAAAAATTATCATAAACACTTTCTTTTCCTCTTTATCCCATCCATGCCCCCATTGGCAACTCAGCTACAAGGAACAAAATTCTGACATGCCCTTCATTTCCATGAATTCCTCAGTGAAAAGTAGTATAATAGTTTGGTTCTTGGAAGGATACTGCAGCTTCTCCAAGGCATCGTTGTTGATGGTATTCATGCTGTTGTAGACAAATGCGCTGCTGAGAAGCACAGCCAGGGCAAAGATCCACGAGTCATTCTTGGGGTCACCCTAGAAAGCTCAGTAGATGATGGTTTACTCTTTAGAGACTTATCCAGATATTTATTCTCTCAATCTTTAATTATTATTTTTCACTAACATATTGGCTAGTCAAAGAAGTATACTTCAAAGACAGACATGGATACACATCTCAGCTTTGACAATGATATTGACATTTCTTGCCATGTCATTTCCACTTGTGTAAAAGGATGCTAATCATAGTTTTCCATGGTGTTTTCCTTTTGCACAATGGGATGTAGTAAGATAATATATATAGCAAAACTAATACAGTATCTGCCATACAATTAAATGTGCAGTGTAAGGTGTTAGCACTTACTCATTCAACACTTATCTGTTGATTGTGAGCTGTAAAATATGGCTTAGCACATACCATGCTTGGCACAATTAAGGACTAAAATTATATCCAATTAAATTTAACAAATACAGCAACCTACTAAATGTTTCACACTATTCTTGTTGTTCAATGTGATGACAAATGTGTGAAATGACTTCAACAACTGTGACACTATCTGTAAAGAGCTTACATCTTAGTAATGCAAGTAGGTAGTACAACCTATACTCACAATATTAAATTAAAAATAAGTCTGTCAAGGAAGAATAGAAGCTATAGAAGTTGAAGGAAAGGTATGTGATGTGAAGATGTTCTGGTAGCCTTGAGCCTAGTGTGAAAAAATTGATAGAGTGTGGATTTGAAGGAGTATGATGCAGAGAGACCAGCAGGAAAAGCACAATTGGACATGTTACACTTCAGGACTCCTTCCCAATAAGGATAAAGATATTTTGTGTATTGGAAGGTGGAGCAGAGGGTAGAAGGCTAGATGGATAGCCCTGGTACAGGATGATAAAGGGCCTTAGAAGCTAGGCTACCTTGTGTAAAGTATATATATCATGGTCTAAATTACAGCACAGTCTGGAAGTTATTTCTTCTGTAAAATGTGTATAACATTTAGTGCTGAGCCCTTGAATACATATAAAACTAGAATCTATGCCTCAAAGACTTTATATAGGAGTCTGGGGGAGAAAATCATCATTATTTTTACCACATATTAGTTTTTTAAAAAGTGACCAGTAATAATTAGTAATATGTGTGGTAAAAATGAACTCCTTAAATATTGACTCTATAATTCTGTTTGATATATGGTTTTAATAGAAAACTGAATATTCAGTTCCTCATTGGGAAGAAATAAAGAGCTATAGAAATGGAGATAGTAATTCCAATATGCCTGAAAGTAAAACAATAAAGAAAGAAAGGTCATAACTTAACCTAGTACTGCAAAGCTAAGATATCTAAATTCATCTGAAAATGTTTCTTGGGGGACCAACACGTACTTTCATGGAACCAGCACAGTCAGAGGTGTTTCAAAGCCTTCCATAGTGCTCTGTGGGTAGTTGATGAGCTTCACCATAAGAAATGCCATAGCTTCCCATGGTCTAAGTCTTGACCACACACTTCATCTAGAAGCCCTGCAGGTGGATCAGAAGCCCTTCCTGATTCTGTTGGACAGGGTTGATGACTTCTCTTTTCTACCAAGTCACCTTCTAGTTATTTATAGTGGGAGCTGCAATGTGTAGTCTGATCCACTTTTAGAATTGAAGGATTTATTCTCCTAGCTATTGAGAATGACAATGGAAGACAGATTTCAGGTGTTTGTCCTCTATTTTTTTGAGATAGAGTCTCACTCTATTGCCCAGGCTGAAGTTAACTAATCAGCTTAGCTCACAGCAACTTCAAACTCCTGGGTACAAGCAATCCTCCTGCCTCAGCCTCTTGAGTAACTGGGACTATAGGGGCCCACCACAGTGCCCAGCTAATGTTTTTCTATTTTTAGTAGAGATGAAGTCTTGCTCTTGGTCAGGCTGTTGTTGCCTTGATCGGGCTGGTCTTGAACTCCTGAGCTGAAGTGATCCACTGGCCTTGGCCTTCCAGAATGCTAGGGTTACAGGTGTGAGCCACCTTGTTGGGTCACAGGTTAATCTTCTTAATGAGAATGACTTCTAGAATTGTCTTTCAGTGATTAATTATTATCTCAATTAAGAGTAACATGAAACCTCATTGTGGCCATAGCTTCCTATGGAATGGACGGATGCCTGGGACTGTGCTAATTTCCTTCTACCCAACCTGCTTCTTCCCCTCTGTTCCATGAGCCATGGAACTCAATCAGTTACCTGAATATTAACCTCTATCCCTGGATCTGCTTGCAAGGGAAAGCACCTTGTTTTAGGTATTAAAACACCAAAAACAATGTATTAACTCTGACTATATACACCTGGTCTCCCAAACTGGCCTGAAAACTCTTTGAAGGCAGGGCCTTTATTTTGTTCCCTCTACAGTATTGGGTTTAGGGGACTAGAACTCAAATTTATTTCTTAAACTGAATAAAATAATTCATCTCAGTGTCAAGAAATAAACCTTTTAATCTAACGTACAATGTTTGATTTTACCTAGAAGTTAGGTTCAAAAAGACCAAAGTTCACCTTTTTATTTATTTATTTTTTTTGGAGACATAGTCTCACTTCATCTCCGTTGGTAGAGTGCCATGGCATCACAGCTCACAGCAACCTCCAACTCCTGGCTTTAGGCGATTCTCTTGCCTCAGCCTCCTGAGTAACTGGGACTATAGGCGCATACCACAACGCCTGGCTATTCTTTGTTTACCATTTGGCCGGGGCCAGGTTTGAACCTGCCACCTTCAGTATATGGGGCCAGCGCCCTACCCATTGAGCCACAGGTGCTGCCCCAAAGTTCACCTTGATAGTTGGATTTCTAGATTTCTGGAATATATTTCATAAATTCAATTACAAATGATCATTAAGAAAGGAGAGAGCAAGAGTGAAAGGGATCAGTCTCCCACTCTCTGCCTTTACCTTTTCCACATCGCCCAGGCCCTCAGTGTCCAGAAGGACCAGGGTCTGGTTCAGCTTGGTGGGGTGGGGGACACACCACATCCAGATGCCTTTAGTTTCAGACCTTATTGTGGAGCCCAGAGGGAAGCCTGCAAGGGAAGGGAAGAAACAATGTCCAGGGCTGGTAGACAGGGCCAGCATTCTGGGGATTACAAAGTCATACTTGTAGGATGACAAGTACTCCAAGAAACAACATGGTGCCTTCTCCATTTCCTAAATTTTGTGCCATAGTAGGAGGAGGTCAGCTGTGAGAATGATGCCAAGAAAGGGCTCATGATGGAGACAAAGGAGCATCTACTGCGTAAGGAAAATAAAACAAATGTCATTTGTGACCACAGCAAGGATAGTTGGAAAGAATGATGGGATTCAATGTCTGAGAGGAGTGCAGGGAAGGAAAGCATGGGGAAGAAAGAAGTAGAAAAAGGAAATTGAAATACCATCAATTTGCCTTAACAGCTGGCAAATAAAAATGGTGTGGTAGCCACAGTGGAAGGTGGGTTTGGCAACAGCCACGAATGGGAAGGTGAAGAAGGCAGGATTCTGATCTGCAGTAGGACAGACTTTCCTTCATAATAGAGAAACAAGAGCAGGGGGACAGATAAAAGTAAGGCGGGTAACTTGCTATTAAGAGTTAGAGTTGGGTGGTGCCTATGGCTCAAAGGGGTAGGGCGCTGGCCCCATATGCTGGAGGTGGTGGGTTCAAACCCAGCCCCAGCCAAAAACTAAAAAAAAAAAAAAAAAAAAGAGTTAGAGTTAAAAGTTCTGTTTATTGAGAGAGGCTGGATTTTCTCATCATCTGACCATGGAGGAGGAATAAGAGTCTGAGACAAGCCCGCCCAGGACAACACTCACCATGGTTCTGTCCTGCCAGGCGGTTCATCAGGTAGGATTTCCCAGTGCGATACAGCCCTACGATGGCCACCACCACCACAGGCTGAGAAATACTGCTAAGTATCTGCATAGCTTGCTGGTTCACTGACAACTGATTGTCCTTGTTCTCCACCAGACATACAGGGGCGGTCATGAGTTGAGACGTCTCGGTAACCTGCCAACCCCCAAAGCTTCTCAGAATAGTGTGACACCCTCAAATCATTTCAAATCCTGTTTATTCAAGGCATGTTCATATTGGCTTCTTGTTTGTGATATGTTTGTGACACACAATCTGTATACCTTAAAACCACTGAAATCTATCTTATTGTGGTTTCAGAGAGTAGAGGTTCAAAATCAGTAAGTTACCAAGGCCATATTATCTTTGAGGGTTCTAGAAGAGAACAATTACTTCTTTTAGCTTCTGGTGACTCCAGGAATCTCTTGGTTGGGGGCTGTGTAACTCTAGTTCACCTCTGACTTGACAGGTTTTTCTTCTTTTCTTTTTCTATTTTTTATTTACATTTATCAGTTTTTTATGGTTTGAAGCCATAGTACCTAGGTTTAAATACTGAATCAATCTTTACTGACTATATGACCAAACAAGATATGAAGCCTGCCTTTTCCTTAATTTCTCCTTCTTAAAAATGGGATTACTAATACTAACTAGTGTATGTAGAGAGCAATTCTTGTGATTAAAGAAGATGATATTTATAAAGAATTTAAAACAGGGCGGTGCCTATGGCTCAAAGGATTAGGGTGCCGGCCCTATATACTACAGAGGTAGCAGGTTCAAATCCGACCCCAGCCAAAAACTGCAAAAAAAAAAAGAATTTCAAACAGACTTGGTACAAAGTACTATAATACAAGTATTTGTTAAAAATAATAATGTTTCTGAAGAGATAGGAAGTGTGGATTTTCATTTGAAGTTAATGACAACTGTGATACAGTGTCTGGACTTTTTGAGAATCATGCTGTCATTCTTTTTTTTTTTAATTTTTAAATTTTTTAATATGCGGGTACAAATGCTTAGGTTACATTGTTTTTGATTGTAAGGTAAAGTTCAAGTTGTCACTGAGCCCTTCACCCAGGGGGTGCACTGAACACCCACACGTTGTGTATACTAGTTGAGATACTGCCAATCACTCCCCTCCTTGTTCCTCCCTTCTCACTCCCTTTCCTCCCCCTTGATAGACTATACTTGTGTGTGGTTGCTAATATATTGGTTTCATGTTAACATTGAGTACATTGGAGACTTTTGTTCTCATTCTTTTTTTTTTCTTCCTTTTGAGACAGAGTCTCATTATGTCACCCTCGGTAGAGTGCCTTGGCATCACAGCTCACAGCAACCTCAAACTCTTGGGCTTAAATGATTCTCTTGCCTCAGCCTCCCAAGTAGCTGAGAATACAGGCACCACAATGCCCAGGTATTTTTTGGTTGCAATCATCATTGTTGTTTAGGAGGCCCAGGCTAGGCTCGAACCCTCCAGCCTGGGTGTATGTGGCCGGCGTTTACTCACTGAGCTATGGGCACTGAGCCTTTTTTGCTCATTCTTGAGATGCTTCACTAAGAAGAATTTCATGCTCTCATTTTTTTTTTTTTTTTTTTTTTTTTTTTGAGACAGAGCCTCAAGCTGTCCCCCTGGGCAGAGTGCCGTGGCATTACAGCTCACAGCAACCTCCAACTCCTGGGCTCAAGCGAGTCTCCTGCCTCCGCCTCCCAAGTAGCTGGGACCACAGATGCCCGCCACAACGCCCGGCTATTTTTTGGTTGCAGCCGTCATTGTTGTTTGGCGGGTCCGGGCTGGGGATTCGAACCCGCCACCTTAGGTGTACGTGGCTGGCGGCTTAGCCGGTTGAGCTATAGGCGCCGAGCCATGCTCTCATTCTTAATCCTGTTTTTTATCTGAGTCCAGTAACATGAGATGTGGAATGGAATACCTGAGAGTTAGGAGTTAGAATCCTCTCCTCTGCTCCGAATGAATGGGCCCCTTCTCTCTCCATCTTCTCAGTCCATCGGTGCACATGTTTCTGGTGACTCTTTTCATTCTGTTCCATCACTTGCTGTTTCATCTTTTTCATTTCCTCCATTATTTTTGCAGATTCAGCTTTTTCATGTTCCACTGAGAAAAAAATGAAGAAAAAGATTTGTGCAATCTTACCATGTTACATCTTCCCTCTCTCCTCACTTGGTATTGTTGCTGCTCCATAGAAGAATTTCCCTGGCATGAAATTCCCCTTGGAATAACTATATGTCTATCAACTTTGTTACATCTTACTCAGAAATGGTTTCATGGACTACAGTGCATCTTTGATGTTTTTCTTCTAGTGTAATGACTTCAGGTGGACCAGGCTGGGACAAGTTGTAGTGATTGCCCAGAGGGCTTCTATGGAAGAAAATGTTGAGCCTTGCTATTATGTGTTCACCACTGCACAGATGTGAGCATTTTTCTGCCATGACTCTCCTTAGTTCCTGCAGGTTGCACAGCCTCTACACAGCTGTGAACTTCCACATCTACCCACTGTAGCTAGGTTATGGATCCTGACCCTGGTGGCAGATGAGGACTTCCTTTTAATGGCATACTGGCTGTTGATTGCTAGACAGAAGTGATGCTTGGCTGTGCCCAAAGACATCATTCATTTGCTATCTGATTGACCCTATATTCACAACACTGCATACCCATCCCATAGTGCAGGTAAACCCTTGAGAAAGAGCACTGGGTTGAATATGTCTAAAATTAGGGAGAGGATGAGGAAGAAAAACAGAACCCACCTGAGATCTTCCCATTTTAAAAGTGTCCCACTCATTCAATTTAAAATTACTTTAGAGTAAATGTGCATTTCAGCTAAGACTAATCATCAGTACCATCAGTAGCCATGAAATTAACAGCTAGTAGGTAACTTTCTTTTTGTTTGCTTCATGTAACCTTCCTCTTTACAAACTTGATGTCCTAACGAAAGTGCAAGCATCATGATTTTATGTTTAGTTTAGTGGCAATTGTCTGAAGACCTGACTTTGCTCATTGTTATGTGTGGCCTTGCACAAGAGTGTGGGAAAAGGAAGGTCTGTTCTTTGAATTTGTAAATTATAATATGATGTAGATAATAGTACTTTTCCCTTTGTTTCTCATGTCCATATTCCGAATCTCTTCCTGGAGTTTTGTGCTCTCTTCTCTGATTCCCTCCTTGAGTAGTTGTTTCTGTTCCTAAAAGGAAAAGAGAACATTAACACTGACACAGAATAAAATCAAATCAGTGAATTTGTAGTATAATTGCCAAATTAGTTCTCCTTTTAGTAATTCTAATAATTCCTCAAAAGATTTTGACGCTCATGAAAATCCCTTTGTCCCTTTATGTTATGTTATATCTCTCTATCTTGAGTCTCCTAAGCCCACCATTGCTTTCTTCTAGGATTTCTTCTGAAGCTGAAGAAGAGTTTTTTTCTTCATATTTTCTGAAATATGTTTGCCCTACTATTCCATCTTATGACACTTGAACCCATATTGAACTCAATTATTCTGTGTTAATTGTCACGTTTAAAAAATTTTTTCTTTGCTTCAACTCTCACCTTCTATATAGTGGACACACACACAATTATGTATATACATATTCCAGAATCACAGTCGAGATCCAAGGGAAATATTGCTATCCAATGCTCAGAAACAAAGGAGATATCAGTACAAGCCTCCAAAATTTTGATTGGCACAGTAATCAGTCGAGATCAGGGTATCTTGTGACCCATAGGTTATTACTGGACCACACTCAGTGTGGACTTGAAGAACAGGAAGGTACTGGCCGCCCTGGCATCTAACCAGTGACAACTTGCTTTGTCAGCCAGTGATTAGCTATTATTTGTTAGTGATGCATAACCTAAGGATTCCATGGGAATCAAAAGGAAATTGAAAGCCTCCTAGAGTGGCTGATGCAAATGTCTCAACCGGTACACTCTGTGAATTGGGACAGAGGAAGACAAAACTGAAATGACATAATCGAAGACCTGAAGTTTGAGATGTAGCGTCCTCTCTTGCTCGGCCAGCACCTGGGCCCTGTCCTTCTCCATCTTCTCAGTCAGCTGTCGCACATGCTCCTGGTAACTCCTCTCTGCCTGCTCCATCATCTGCTTATACTTGCTCTGCATGTCCTCCAGCAATTTTGCTGCAGCCTGTGCAGATGCAGCTTTTTCACGTTCCACTGAAGAAGAAAAAGAAAAATCCATGTAGGTTTGCGGTATTACCCTTTTCTTCCTTCCATACGTGTTTGTTAGCATTGCTGCTCTCTAGAGCAGCGAGTTTCAACCAGTGTGCCATGAGAGGATGTTAGGTGTATTGCAATTTTTTTTAAGGATCATTAATTCAATTGTTTTTGAAAGAAGTTCAAAGCATAAAAAGTATATTCTTTTTTTTTTTTTTACCCTTTTCTTTTGTGGTCTACATAATTTAAGTGTGCCATGGAAGTTTAACTACAGGTTCAAGTGTGCTGTGAGATAAAAAAGGTTGAAAAACACTGTGTAGAGGGACTCTCCTAACACTAATTCACTTTGGGGGTTTTCATAGCGCTAGTGCCGGCATAGGCCACGCTCAGAAATGGTGTTAGGAACGAAGCAAATCTTTGCTTTTTCAACTTAATTTAATGATCAAAGCTTTATCTGGCCAAATATTTAAACTTTTAAGAGATTTTGTGAATATCTAGAGGCTTGAGTTGCCCCTTACCTTCAATCTCCTTTTCCTTTTCTGTGAGAGTCTGGTCCATCAGTAGAATGACATTAGTCATAGGCCCCCTGGACCTCAAGTACTCCTGCAGAATCCTTTCAGCCTTGGGACGCAGAGAACACAGTGAGCAGCAGAAAATGGCTGTCTTCATTTGTCCTCATTCATCTGCCTACCATCTGTCCTTCTAGGTGGGACATGTGGTCAAGTGTCCCTGTCACAGAGTCAGGAACATCCTGGAGGGCAGGCAGTCATGGAACATTCTAGAAACATTCTTTTTTTTTTTTTAGCAGGTTAATAGATACTAGAAAAAAGACAATGTCTGTCTTTTGAGGCTGAGGGCTATAATTTTGGAGCAGTTGGTGCTGTGGTTCCATATGGGCTGAGCTTGCTACAGAATGAAGCCATCATGGAGAAAGCTTCACAGAGAAGAAAGTGGAGAAAGAATGGAGGGGAGTGGAGGTCAGAGACAGAGAAGATAACATGTTTTGAACTCTTAGATCTCCCTCCTCTTAAACTGCCTTGAAGCCAAAACTTGATAAAGTACCACCTTTGAAGGCCAGGAATGGTGGTCCATGCCTGTAATCCTAGAACTCTGGGAGGCTGAGGTGGGTGGATCACCTGAGCTTGGGAGTTTGAGACCTCCTTCTTTAAAAATGACTGGACATTGTGGCGGGTACCTGTAGTCCCAGGTACTCAGGAGGCTGATGCAAGAGGATTGCTTGAGCCCAAGGGTTTGTGGTTGCTGTGAGCTATGAACCCATGGCACTGTACTGAGGGTGACAAAGTGAGACTGTCTCAAAAACAAAAAAAAAAATTACTACTTTTGAATAAGCAACATGATTGGATTTTTGTCTTTTGTTACATCAAATACCCAGAATAGGTATTTGGGTTATCTTGGGTTATCTTGATGATCAATCTGAAAATCCAGTTTATGTGTAAATGTTGAATGCACTCTCTTTGATGAGAACTAGAACATGTGGTATAACAGACTCCCTATACATGTTTATTGAATAAAAGAGTGAGTGGTATGTAGATAAGAAATACACTCGGTCAGGCTTGGCACCCCTAGCACAGTAGTTATGGTGTCAGCCACATACACCCAGGCTGGTGGGTTTGAACCTAGCCCAGGCCAGCTTAACAACAATGACAACTATAACAACAGCCAAAAAAAAAAAAGGGGGGCGGTCTTGGTGCCTGTAGTTCAGCAGCTAGGGCTCCAGCCACATACACAGCAGGTGATGAGTTTGAATTAAGCCGGGGCCTGACAAACAACAAAGTCAGCTACAACCAAAACAGAGCTGAGCATTATGGCGGATGCCTGTAGTCCTAGCTACATGGGAGGCTGAGGCAAGAGTATTGCTTAATCCCAAAGAATTTGAGGTTGCTGTGAGCTTTGATGCCACAGCACTCTACTGAGGGCAAACTCTGTCTCAAGAAAGAAAAAAAAAAAAGAAATACACTTGGTCACATGGTGTTTCAAGGAGAAGAGACCATAGAATCTTCCCAGAAACAGATAAAATCTTGGTTACCTGTACCCCCTTCTTGGGTTGCTGAAGGTACTTTTTCTTCAGTTCTTCTGTCTTCTCAATAAAGAGATGATATCCCCCAGCTTTGGAATAAATTCCCTGTTTCACTGCTTCTTCTAGAGGGCCAAAAATATCTTGAAGTAAAGTCAGACAATGAGCTGATGATGCTTTCAGATTCTGTTCATTAAAGTTATCCCACTTTTTATCTAGCTGAGCCTTTAACATAAACATAGGAAGTAAAAAGAAAACAGGGGACTATATTAGTTATGCCTCAGAATTTGGAAAATTCTTCTCAATAAACTTAATATGGTTTCCTAGGAACTCAAACACAACACTACAGAACTTTATTGTGTGTGTTAACGTGGACTTTCTTATGACGTCCTTCTCCTTGGAGGTCAGGTTCAGAGCAAATATTGCTAGTATTATGTATCAATTTTACAAGTAGTTCTGGTTCAAATTGGACCAATTATTACCATAAATCGGATAAATACAGCACAATGTCAGGCTGATCAAGATCATTAAGACTCCAAGTTTCTTTGCTTTTGTTCAGAGAATCAGTCTGATAAACAGCAGGCATGTTATTAAATTAGACACTCTGATTGTTAGTTATGTGTGTAATTAAATGGAAGACTATTATTTTGTTTAAAAAAGAAAAAGAATCTCAAAACTTTTTGTCCATAATAATATAATTGTTACTTCTGATCATCATGATTGCCAATAGGTAGCTGACACTGTTTTAAAGTCTTATAACAATTGCCTCTCTCAATATAAATGCTCATTTTATTTCTTACTAGTACTTTGTTTTCTAAAATCCAAATCTCGATAAACTTGGAAGAAAAATTACCATTAACTCCTTTTGAAATAGTTGATCTACATCTTTGAAGGAATCCCTGATGAAAATTTCGATGGCCTCCTTCTCACTGGCCCTGTGCAGGTCCAGAAGGTCCTGGAGGGTCTCCGTGGGCAGCTGCACCTTCTGGCTCATCTGCTGGTCATAGTGGTCAATGGCGTTTTGCACTGCAATGGAGTTCTCTATCTGGGCCAAGACCTGGACTGCGTTCTCAAGACAGAGCAGATCCCCACTACTGATTGCATTGACATAGGTCAGCACCAGGCTCTGTAGGCCTACAAATGGAGAACAAATGATGATGTTGGTTGTAGGTAGAGTGAAGAAAACTCTCTGTTATATATAAGTTTGAATCCATCTATTAAGAGCTGTTTGCTTCATCAGTGGCATTAGCATCAAGTGGAAGCCTGACACTAATGCAGATTCTCAGAACTTGCTTAACCTATCAAACAAAACTTTCCATTTGGCAAAGGCCACTAGTCATATGTATTCAGATCAAAGACTGAGAATGTCTTTTTGAGATTAGGTAGGCCTATGTTTCTTGAATATTTGCATCTACTTAGTCCTGTGACCTGTAGGAGGACAGAAATAATTCCCCTTTTGTTTTTGTCTATATCATCAGTCCTCTGAATCTTGGTCCATGATATACATTCAGTTAGTGTTGCTAGAAAGACAATATGATCCTAGTCAAGTGGAGTCCTTCATTTCATTTACTCTACTCTGAATTGTCCAACAGAACTTTCTGGAATGAATGAAATGTTTGTTGTAATTTTGAGCTTCCCATTATGACAGCCACTAGCCTTATATAGCTATTGACCCCTCAAAATATAGTCTTGTGATTTGAATTTTAAACTTACTTTGACTTTAATTAGTTAACATTTAAATTGAATAGCCATGTATATGTCAATGGGTACCAAACAGAGCAGTACAAGTCCAGGTTATTTGAGAAATATTAAGGAGAGAGTTTCTTTTCTTTTCTTTCTTTCTTTTTTTATTTTTTTAGAGACAGAGTCTCACTTTATTGCCCTCAGTAGAGTACCATGGTGTCATAGCTCACAGTAACCTCCAATTCCTGGGCTTAGGCAATTCTCTTGCCTCAGCCTCCTCAGTAGCTGGGACTACAGGTGCTTGCCACAACATCTGGCTATTTTTTTGTTGCAGTTTGGCCAGGGCTGGGTTCAAACCCGTCACCCTTGGTATGTGGGGCTGGCGCCCTGCCCACTGAGCCACAGGTGCTACCTGTATGTGGCTTCTTTTCATTGACCTTTATGATGTATTTCCCAGCCAGATATAGGAGACTTTACATCTTTTATATTAATCTGGATTGATTTGCAATATATTCTTTTTTTTGAGACAGAGTCTTGAGCTATTACCCTGGATTGAGTGCTGTGGCATCATAGTTCCAGCAGCCTCCAACTCTAGGGCTCAAGCAATTCTCTTGCATTAGTTTTTCTATTTTAGTAGAGATGGGGGGTCTCACTTTTACTCAGACTGGTCTCAAAGTCTGAGCTCCAGCTATCCACCTGCCTTGGCCTCCCAGAGTGCTAGGATTACAGGCGTGAGCCACTATGCCTGACCTGGAACATATTCTTCTTAGTAAAGCACCACAAGAATGGAGAAGCAAGAATCCAATGTGCTCAATTCTTTTTTTTTTTTTTTTTTGAGACTGAGCCTCAAGCTGTCCCCCTGGGTAGAGTGCCGGGGCATCACAGCTCATAGCAACCTCCAACTCCTGGGCTCAAGCAAGTCTCCTGCCTCCGCCACCCAAGTAGCTGGGACCACAGGCACCCGACACAACACCTGGCTATTTTTTTGTTGTTGTTGTTGCAGCTGTCATTGTTGTTTGGCGGCCCGGGCTGGATTCAAACCCGCCACCTTAGGTGTATGTGGCTGGTGTCTTAGCTACTTGAGCCACAGGCACCGAGCCATACTCAATTCTAATATGAAGGCAGTAGATGAACTAATACAAGGTGAAGGGAGGAGAATGAGGGAGTGGGGAAGGGGGAGGAAGGAGAGGGATGGGGGGGTCCCGATGTATGGCATACCTCTTGGGAGAGGGACACAATTATAGGAGGGACTTTACCTAACAAATGCAATCAATGTAACCTAATTCTTTGTACCCTCAATGAATCCCAGTTTAAAAAAAAATCAGGTATTATTTGATACCATTTTGAATTTAGCAGAATAATTTCAATATACCATACATTTATAAAGACTAAACTTAAGTGGATGTTGTTTTCCCTGGTCAGTGAGTGGAAGTACTAGGAAAAGGACTTACGAAGTCCATTGACCTTGACACCTCCTGGAAGAGTTTTAGTCTTGGAATGGCTTAAGATGTAGGAACAGAATTCTTCCACTTGTTGTACAAAATCCGAATCCAGCTCATCATCATGCATTGTCTCAAGTTGGGCAAGTTTCTTCCACTCAGTGGGTGGAGGGAAGACAAAGCATTTCTTCTTTGGGAAGAACTTTCGGATGCAGAGTCGAGGCAGGTTATAATTTTTGTCTTTTTTAGTGGTACCTGGGAAAAAAACAAAAAAGGGGGGTATAACTAGTTCAGTGTTAATTGTCACTTCAGGACATTTCTTCAACTAAATGTTCCTTTTATTCCATATTCTTTGGCTATGTGCAATTTCACACACCTTAAACAAGGTTTAGCAAAATAATAGCAATATACCATACATTTATAAAGACTAAACTTAAGTGGATGTTCTTCTGCCTATTCTTCTTCTCCTCCTCCTTAAGGTGATGAAAGCACCCTCTAATTGTATAAGGAAAACGTGAAAAGGGAACTTGTCTCTTGAAAAGAGCTATAATGCCATTGAAATGGAATCTAGTAAGTCAGATACTGAATGAGAATTACTTCTTAGGAATAGCCTGGTGAGTAGAAAAATATAAAAAACTCTGTCAATGTAAGCACATGTACAAAATTGTTAATTCCTGGTATTTTTCCTCCCTGTTTTCCTCCCCATCCCTGTTACCTTGCTTTAACTTCAGAGAATTTTCCAGGTACTCATCTGGTGTGAGGGGGTGTCCATCTGCTTCCACCTTCAGGGTCACATCTCTCAGAGTCCACATGAAGTCTGGGAAGAAGCTCACAAACTCAGCGGAATCCTCAACCTCATTGTCCCCCCACGAGGCTTTTGTTCTGATTTGATTTGTCAGCTCTGTCACATAGCTGAGTGGCTAACTAAGAAAAAGTGGCAAAATGAACAGGGCCCCCATCCCATATTAGTTCTACATATTCTGAAAGGTTAATTTTTCCTTGTTCTGAAACAACTCTGTTTATTTGTAGGTTCAAGGGATCTTTTTCCTGCATTTAAAGAATTTTTCATATTTTTTTTTAATTTAATCCCCCAGGATTCATAGTCAAGCTGCTGGCTTGTTAATGTGAATCTCCCCTCTAACTTTGGGCCATTCTGGATCACAAAAGGATACTGTAGCTGGTCCATCGCTTGCTGGTTGATGGTTCCTATACTATTGTATACAAAGGTGCTGCTCAGGAGGATGGCCAGGGCAAAGATCCAGGAGTCGTTCTGGTTGTCTCCCTGGAAGTCAACACATTTAAGCTGGGAGTATATTTCATTGTCATGGCCCTTTCTAGATGAGTACTGATAAAAGTATATTCATTTAATTAGAGATGAGAAAAACTGATCTAAAGATGTTACTGGTAGGTACAGACCTTGAACAGTTTCTAATTAGTATTTTTGTTTTGAACTGATTCATTGCTCCTTGGGTCCTAGTAAGACCACTGGTAGATAATTGCAAAATAAATTATCAAGGTTAGTGTGCATTTCAAGCTCTTAAAGATGCTCCTTTATGTAAAGCATAATCGGCTTATATATGAACAATAAAACTTGCCTTGGGATAGCTGAAGGAGTAGGATAGGAATATTTACACTTGTTGCACAAAATCAGAATTGGACCATTATAATGTACCTGAAAGTTTACATTACTTATTATCAAATGCTCAGACAATGTTATAATGTAGGTAAAGGTCAGTACCCATTTTACGTATCAGATTAGGCTAAAAAATAATTCAGATAACTTGGTAAAACCACAGAGTTAGTAGGAGACAGAGCAATTTGTGGAACACATATTCTCAAGGTTTCAGAAGCTAAATTTTTAAATGAATTTTCTGCTGGAATTATACTTGTGATAAAATGTTCATGACAGATTTTATCTGTACCACCTTTCTGCCTGGGGTTTATTGGATTAGTTCATAGATTTTAATGATTAGAATCATGCCTTATTAGTATTTTCCTCAACTCTGGTTGCTAATCTTGGCCTCATGACATGTAAACAGAAATGAGAAGACATGCCATAGTTAAGTGGAAGCTCTGATAGAGTAAAAACTAAATAGAGCATAAAATATTAAGAGACAAGGGGCTCATTCCCATACTGAGTCCTTGATCTGTACCTTCTCTATATCTCCCAGGCCCTCTGTGTCCAGCAGAACTAGGGTATGTCCTGGTTTCCTGGGATGGGGCACACACCATACCCAGATTCCTTTGGTGTGAGATTGCACTGTGCAGCCCAGAGAGAAACCTGCAAGGAGAGGGGAGATAAGAACAGCTGGAAATCTAATAGCAGGTGCTTCTGAAAATTGAGATAAGAGGTAAAGTAAACCAATGTTAAAAGATAGACTTCAATGATGGTTAATAGTCATTTTAACTAAAACCATAGAAATAGGAAAATCATAATATGTAATTCATATTAGAACTTTTAATTTTACCTGAATGATCAGTGGAAGCTTTCTGCTCCTTGAAGTGTATTTTATTAAATGACATATAGCTTATACACGTGCATATCAATTCTGTCCATACTTACTGGTTCCAGCCAGCAAAGGACAGTTTTACTCTTAAAAGGGGCAGGTGAAGCAAAGTAACAAGAGATTTAGCTGACCCTTATTTTCTAGATTATAATGGAGGGAGGAACATGATTGTGGATTGAAAGTTAGTCTTTAGTATACTCTTCAGCATCTCTAACTTCCCCTCCTCATTCCTCATCCTGGACACTGATCATGTAGGTTGGCAGAGAACACTAATGCAAGCTCTGCTGGGGCCACTCACCCTTCTTCCCAGCCACCTTGTTCATCAGGTAGGATTTGCCCGTGCGGTAGAGGCCCACGATAGCCACCACCACCACAGGCTGTGTGATAGCAGACAGGATCTCCAAGGCATCTGGATTAGCCCTCAGTTGTCCTTTGATGTTCTCAATGAGACATATTGGGTCTGGCATGTGGATCTCTGAGGACATGTCCAGGGTGTTCTCTTATGTGCAAGAGGATAAATGAAATAGATTAGAATTTCCAGTCTTTTGCATTCAAAAGGAAGAGTCTTAAAATTTCCCAGCATGACCTAAAAATTCATTGGGTAGGACAAATGATTGAAAATCTGCATCATTATAGAAAATTAGGGAAGTATGGGTGGTGCCTGTGGCTCAGTGGGTAGAGCACCAGCCCCATATACTGAGGTTGGGGGGTTCAAACCCAGGCCCAGCCAAACTGCAACAAACAATAGCCAGGCATTGTGGTGGGTGCCTGTAGTCCCAGCTACTTGGGAGGCTGAGGCAAGAGAATC